GCTCGCCCGGGGCGGAGGCGCGTGGGCGTGTGCGCTGGGACCCCCGCTGGTGTTCGTACCCGGGGCGCACGGAGCCGCTGCGCGATGGTCGGACCTGTGCCGCCCCAGACACTGCCTGGCCCCACTGAGCTGATTCGCCTCTGCCTGGAAACACTGGGCTGGCCTCTATTGGAGGGACACCTGGCTCTGTTTACAAAATGTGCCTGTACCTCGCCTGGCCACTTGCCCGCATCCCCGTGCCGGTCCAAGAGCTTGAACTCTGGACCTAGCCTGGCGCCCTCTGCATACCCCCGGCCGCCGGCCCCATCCCACAAACCCATCCCCACCCCTGGGACAGGCTCAACTTCCAGGCCAGGCCTCTCTGCCCAGCGTGGTCCCTCGCCGTGCTAGGGAATTCAAATTCCTTTTGACTTTGGGGGGTATCTTCCATGCCCAAACTTTCCACCTCCTTCCACGGGCCCAAGAACAACGCTCCGACGCCGCTCCTTGCCCCAGGCCATCTGTAAATCCCCCCCAAAAGGCTCTGGGTGGGGCGCTGAAGGTATGCTGCTGAGGGCGAACAGCCCGCCCCCGCTTCTAGGTCAGCCTCACCCCAAAAAACCCCACAAACCTCCCATCCTTGGAGTCAATGCGGACTCCTAGCGACCCCCCTGTGGTGCCTCAGACTGTAGTAACTTCACGGGAGTAGAAAGTCCAGTCTTTCTCCCAAGGAGCTGCTGGTGGTTTTAAATTGCGGACCCGTACGGATCGCAGCCCAACGCATAACCACCTCCCCACCGGGATCCTCACCCTGGCTTTCCCCTCCCAGGCTTGGAAAGGGTTAAGGGCAGAGGGCCTTCCCGCCCGCCCGCTCGCCCTCCCTCCCTCCGGGCCGGGATTCCTGTCCTCGCCTCTGCCCTTTCCCTCTTGCCTGCCCCGAACAAAGGCTCTTTCACCCTTGCCTCCAGTGTCCCGGCCTAGTCGGGTTCAGAAGTTAGCGGGCCTGGGGGAGGGGACTTTTGTCGGGGCCTCGCGCACCCCATTCCCCCAGCTACCCTGCCTGGTGGGGGCGAGGCCCCAGGACTAGGAGGAGGGTTTGTGAGCTGGAGCCTCCCCCCGGGGTGGGCCCAGCCTAAGGGAGCCCAGCTGAGGAGCTGGGGCGGAGCTGCAGGGCCCGACTGGCCGCTAAGGGGAGTGTGGCTCCGTGCGCCTGGGGGGCGGGTGGATGTGTTCAAACTGCAGCTGGCTGGGAACCGGGGCTGGTTTCCTGTCTGGAAGGGAAGGGGCCCGCAAAGGGAGCGGGGGCAGCAGCAGACAGGCACACCCCTCCCTCTCCTCCCTTCTGCTGGAAAAGCGAGGTAATTGTGAGTCCAGGGTGGGGCGGGCTGGATGGGGGCCCTGAGTTGGGAGCCGTGGCCGTGGCAGCCGGGCCACAGGACCTGCTCACCCCCTCGTCCCACTCCCGGGCGCCTCCTCCACTCAAGGGCTCACCGCTGCCTCTGTGCTTCCCCACTGTAGAAACTAAGCCAGAAGCCCTCTCGGAAAGTTCCCACCTCCTGGCCAACCCAGCGCTCCGCTCCGCTCCGCTCCGCAGGGCCTGCCTGACCCGTCCTCTCCCTGCCCCCGTCCAGCTGTGCCTGCCCCTCACGCCCTCTCTGCACACAGATTCTCTGTCCACCAGGCCAGGGATGTGGGCGCGGGCCGGGAGGGACCAGAGTCGGAATGAAAGGGCCCTTTTCTTCCACAGCTGGAAGAACAGCTGCCACCCAAGCACGGCTGGCCGCTCTGTGCCCAGAGCCCTGTCTGCAGTTGGCCTCTCCTCCGGGAACCCCGCTCATCCACACCTGGCTTTGCTTTCCTCCGCTGCCCGGCTCCCACCGAGGCAAGGCGGGAACAACCGGCAGTGGGAGAGAAGTTTGTCACAGAGGCCAGAGGGGTCTGACAGGAGCCTGTAGGGACAGGGACAGCCTCTGCCGGCTGCCTGAGAGCCACCCACCCCTTTCAAGCCTGAGGGAGCAGTGAGAGGAGGAACTGGGGGCATCCTGGTGCCTGCCCCACCTGTGGAGGGCTCTTCACGGGAAGGGACCCTGGGGGCACAGAGATGCAGGACAGATTGCACATCCTGGAGGACTTGAATATGCTCTACATTCGGCAGATGGCGCTCAGCCTGGAGGTAATGCCCCCAGCCCCAGGGTGCACACTGCCTCTGGCTGCCTGCACCCCAACCCTGTGTCTGCCTTGTCTTTCCCTGCCGTGGCTGAGGGGGGCGGCCTGCTGGTAGTGGGGAGAGGGACAGGTGGTTCTTGGGTACTGGGTGGACCCAGGCTCCGTTCCATTGATCAGAGCGTTATGTTGGCAACCAGGTCCTCACACCTAGCTTTGGAAGCTCTGTGGGTGGGCGTGCATGTAGATTCTGGGGTCTGAGGGCTCCTGTTAGGTAGCAGAGAAAGAGAGTTCATTGTGAGAGATTAGCGGCTAGCATGTCTCCATAGAGAAGGAGAAAGGAGCTTGGGATCTGGAGTAAGCCCTGGAGAGGACAAGGAATTGCTTTATTTAGTCTTATAGCACATTTATGAACGCCTGGGGGCGTAGTGGTTATGTGTTGGGCTGCTCTCCTCAAGGTCAGCAGTTTGAAACCACCCGCTGCTCCTGGGGAGAATGAGGGGATTTTCTACTCACATAAAGCGTGTTGTCGTCTTGGAAACTCACAGGGGCAGTTCTACCTTGCCCTATAGGGTCACTGTGAGCCTGCATGGACTTGATGGCCGGAAGTGCTGTGTGCCAAGCCCTGTTCTAGACACTGGGTGGACCCTCAGTAGACAAGACAGGGATGGTCCATTCTAGTGAGAAAGAGACAGTAGCCATGCAAACACATAAAGGACTATCTCTCATAGCGAAATTAAGATGCAAACAGGGGGCTGTAATAAAAATCAGGTAAGGAACTCAGCATTTGAGTTGGAAGGCCTCTGTGGGGAGATCTTTGAGCTGAGACCAGAAGGACATGAAAATGTGAAGACCGGAGGGCTTTCCAGACAGAGGGCAAAGTCAGAGCCAACTGAGCACAGGTGATGTGTTTATAGGAAAGAAAGCCAGCCAGGCAGTGTGGCCGGGACATCGTCATTGGAGCGGAGCTGGTAGACAGGGTTGGGAAGGCTATCATAGCATTTGGATTAAACTCTAAATGTGCTGTTGGACCGTGGAAGGTCTTTAAGCAGTGTTTTAAAATAATGGTTGCTATAGGAGCGGGCTGTGTGTGTGTGGAGAGATTGACAAGTGAGGTGTCAGGATGCCAACCTCCAACAACCGAAGGGCCAGAAGGCACAAATGCACAGCTACGGTGTGTAAAGGTTATAGTGAAGTCAAAGAGGATAAGAAAGATACAGTGCAAGAAAGGAGTCAGCCACATTTTGTGGTCGCATGCTCACCTCAGCTTCTCTTGATGGACCACTTGGAACAGGGAGTAGTGAGAAAGAGCCTTTACTATCTTAAGACATGCATGTTCAGTAGTTGCATGCATCACAAGGTGGGCAGGAGCTACATTGAGGTCCCTGAACTCACAGGTGAGGAAACTTAATAAACCTACATTGGGGGAAGGTATGAGGGGGGTTGGGTGACACAGTGGAAGAGAGAAAAGGATGTCTGCTTCTTTTTTTTTTTTAATCATTTTATTAGGGACTCATACAACTCATCACAATCCATACATACATCAATTGTGTAAAGCACATTTGTACATTCATTGCCCTCATCATTCTCAAAATATTTGCTCTCCACTTAAACCCCCGGCATCAGCTCCTCATTTTTGCTCCCTCCCTCCCCATTTTCCCCTCCCTCATGAACCCTTGGTAATTTATAATTTATTATCTTGTCATATCTTGCCCTGTCCGACATCTCCCTTCACCCACTTCTCTGTTGTTCGTCCCTGAGGGAGGAGGTCACATGTAGATCTTGTCATCGGTTCCCCCTTTCCACCCCACCCTCCCAGTATTGCCACTCACACCACTAGTTCTGAAGGGATCATCTGCCCTGGATTCCCTGCATTTCCAGTTCCTATCTGTACCAGTGCATATCCTCTGATCTAGCCAGATTTGTAAGGTAGAATTGGCATCATGATAGTGCGGTAGGAGGAAGCATTTAGTAACTAGAGGAAAGTTGTATGTTTCATCGTTGCTACATTGCACCCTGACTGGCTCCTCTCCTCCCTGACACCCTTCCTTCAGGGGATGTCCAGTGGCCTATAAATGGGCTTTGGGTTTCCCCTCCGCACTTCCCTCCTCATTCACTGTGATATAATTTTTGGTTCTGATGATGCCTGATACCTGATCCCTTCAACACCTCGTGATCGCACAGGCTGGTGTGCTTCTCCCATGTGGGCTTTGTTGCTTCTGAGCTAGATGGCTGCTTGATCACCTTCAAGCCTTTAAGACCCCAGACGCTCTATCTTTTGATAGCCGGGCACCATCAGCTTTCTTTGCCACATTTGCTTATTCACCCGCTTTGTCTTCAGTGGTTGTATTGGGAAGGTGAGCATCATAGAATGCCAATTTAATAGAAGAAAGTATTCTTGCATTGAGAGAGTACTTGAGTGGAGGCCCAATGTCCTTCTGCTACTTTAATACTAAAACTATAAATACAGGCACATAGATCTATTTCCCCATCCTCATATATAAGTATATTTACATAAGTACATGCCTTTACTTAGACCTCTATAAATGCCCTTCGCCTCCTAGCTCTTCCCTCTATTTCCTTTGACTTTCCTCTTGTCCCACTATCATGCTCAGTCTTCATTTGGGTTTCAGTAATTCCTCTTGGTTACATTACCCTTGATCACGCCCTACCAGACCTCCTATGCCCTCCTCACCACTGATTTGGATCACTTGTTGTTCCCTTGTCCCTGGAGTTGTTAGATGTCTGCTTCTATAGGGAGATATAATCAACCATGTGCTCACTTTAAGGCAGCATAGCTGTTAAGGGGAGAATCTGTGGGGATGATATTTAAAGCAAGATAATGGACTTTAACTTGTGGAGGCTTTTCTACTGTGGAATACTAGCTTTCCAGATTTCCTCTGTTATAAGCTAGGGAATATAGTCCTCATCGTATTTCCCTCAGTGTTAGTTTCCTACAGCGAGGCAGCAGACCAGGGAGAAGGTTGTTGCAAATACAGGTGGGGAATTCTGGTGTGGAGAACAGAGCCCATGACTGCAGGGAGAAGTGGGGAGATTTCAAATGATAAGGGCAGATCTCACAGGCCTTCTGATTGCTTGGTTGGGAAGAGTGAAGCTAAGAGGGCTCCAGGTGATTCCCCAGTGTTTGACTGAGCACCTTGGGTGATTTGACTGAGCACCTTGGGTGATGTGGTTGGTCATTGACTGTGATGGGAAGATGGTGTAAATTGCAGAAGTGACTGTCTGGGTGAGGCAGGGGTTGCTGCTTAGAGAGCTCAGAGTGAGCCTAGATCCACAACAATCCCTTCAGTGCTCACGGGCTGCTCCCCTGAGTTGCCACTCCCACGCCCTGGCCCATAGTAGACATTGCTAGTCACTCTTAGCGCTCATTATCAATGAGTTCATACATGGCCTCAGACTCTTTCTCAGCAATCTTGGCATGGATTGTGCAGGTTATGTCCTTCACACGTCACTCAGGCTCAGGCTGGAGCTCCATCCTCTCATGGGCTACATCAGGTGGTCGTCACCTTTTTCTAATTTGCAGGCAAGTGTCCAAGAAGCCCATGTGGGCTCTAACACTAGCTAAGTGTCCTGAAATAAAACTATCACCCATCCCTTGTTATCTGGCCAAATCTAATCAACTCAAAAAAAAACAAAAACAAAAATCAAAGCCCCAAAAACAACCCCAAAGTCAATGCTATCAAGTTGATGCCAACTCATAGTGACCCTAGGGATAAGGTTGAATTGCCCCTGTGAGTTTTTCTAAAACTGTAACTCTTTATTGGAGTAGCAGGCCCCATCTTTCTCCTACAGAACAGCCGATGGTTTTGAACTGCTGACCTTGCAGTTAACAGCCCAACACATGACCACTATGCTACCAAGGCTCCTCAGTTGTTATGTTATGAGTCCTTGAGTAGTAAAAGCAGTTGTGTTTGACTGCTAACCAAAAAGGTTGTCGGTTCAAACCCAGCTAGGAGCACCTTTGAAGGAAGGCCTGGCACCTACGCCCAGGAAGTTGCAGGCTTGAAAACACCATGGAGTACAATTCTACATGGGCCTCCATCAATTGGAATCAACTGTAAAGCAACTGGTTTTGTAATTAAAAGCAGCTGTTACATTTTCTGACATGCTCTAGGCACATTTCAATTGCGCATGTATGTGGCTAATGGCTACTAGACATCGCCATCAGTGGACAGAACTGGTCTAGATATTTAAATGCATACATTCTGTACCCTCTAAAGAGGTTCATTTTTCTCCGTGGGAGGCCTGCCCAGAGCCGGGCAGAGGAGGGACTTACATTTCATTTGGCCACACCTTTGCCAGTCATGCGCTCAGGGTGCTGGGCTTCAACAGGTGCCCTCCTGGACAGGTTCTCAAAAGAAGGCTCATCCCACGTTTCAGGGGCTGGCAAACAAAACCAAACTCACTGCCATGGAGTCGTTGCTGACTCATGAGGACCCCAAAGGGCAGAGTAGGCCTGTCCCTGTGCGTTTCTGAGGCAGTAACTGTTTACGGGAGTGGAAAGCCTCGTTTTTTTCTCCCACGGAGCAGCTGGTGGTTTCAAACTGCTAACCTTGGAGCCACCAGGATTCCCTGGCTGGGGAGGTAGCAGAGAAGAGTACATTTAAGAAGACTTGCCCGGAGGAGGCCACCTTCAGTTGCAAGTAAAAGGGTGGGCTTCAGTTGCAAGTGAAAGGGTGGGGGGAGCAGGAGAAAAGAGATATTACGCTTTCTCATTTAATCCTCAAAGAGACCTATGAAGGAGGCAGACCCATATCCCGGCTGACAAATGAAGGCTTCGAGGATAACTTCTCACAGCTAATTAAATACCTAAGTCAGAATTTGAACTGATTACCCACCAGGACTTCTGGTGGGATTCTAAAGGTTTCAAGGCCATGGTGGGAAGCAGAGCCAGGAAGTCAGGGACAGAAGGGGACAGGATGGGAAGAGATAGGCCAAGCTGTGCTGAGGCTTCTGCTCATGACTCATCTTCTTCCGCCCCTTGGGCCC